TGTAGTGAGGCTTCGACGTACGTTTCACACAACTGCGTCTTCAGAAAGTGACGACCACCATATCCGGGTTCACTATATAGGAATACCTGGCTCATGATTGGATAAGAACTAATTTTATCTCAGATTCTAATTGGACAGCTCCAGAAACATGGCCTGCCGTGTTGGGATGGTGGAAAAATTATAGAAAAAGTGATGATATATATTATTGAAAATAAGGATGCATATACTGGCATGGTAACAAGTGGCCCAACCCCACCTGATAGGCAATACAAATTACCCCATCACAGAGTGACATGCGGTGCAAACAAAAAAATGAGAAATCTTTTTTTTTTTTAATTATATAAACAAACATTAATACATGGATTGAAGAGTTAAATCCTTAACAAATGCCAAATTAAGATACAAATGAAAATGATTAAAATTAACATAAAAATAGAAAATAATGTAAGTACCAAATGAGAATGTTAAAATACACAACTAAAATTTATAAAGTTTTTTAAATGTATTCCAAGAACTAATTTTCTCATTAGGGACTGTGAACATCCCCTTATAAGGCTGTTTTTAAATATTATATCTATGGGGGGAAAACTCTTTTAAAACAGTTGTGCATATGGTCCCTAAAGCTCATTCCATGGTGTGAAGTGGAGTGTATACTCCGTCACTAAATTAGACTCTGAATGGGGGTTGCTCTTAAAAGGGTAGGCTCATTTATGTTAATTAGTCTAACTATGCTGCCGTCCCCCAATAACCCTTGTTGGGGGTAGGGCTAAGTGTAACCGGTTTTATATTTGATTATATAATTCTAACTTGGCTGAATTACTCTGATAGAACAGACTACCCATAGGGGGGGGAGGAACTATAAACAGGCGGTGATCCTCCTTAACCCAACTATGGGGTGGTGGCGTTTCCCAAATCAATGGGGGGCACCATTTGTATGGATTGCATCAATGGTATAGGATTGCTCCTACAAATTGCAGTTGTCCACCTTTTCCTTCCATTTGTTACCTGTGCAAATGCATCCAGATGTTAGGTGTTAGTTAATGTGAACCCAACTATTCTCTTGGGAGTGTAAGGATTTCTCTTCAGTAGTCTGTGAGAAAACAATTTAGGTCAATATCCTGATTCAACCCCTTTGGGTCCAAAGTCTGTAATTTATGGATCCATTGGGATACTTTTAGACCCATGTTTGTGCCCCTCCAGTGCCTGGAGACATTATCAATTCCCCAGAACTAGAGTAGGCTAGGGTCTTTGTTGTGTTTGAGTCGGAAATGGTTAGAAACACTATGTTGTCCGTACCCATTCTTGATATCTTTGATGTGTTCACCTATACGTGTGGATAGCTTCCTGGTTGTTCTACCTATATACTGCAGTGTACATGGACAGGTTAACAGATAAGTGACATATCTAGAGTCACACATGATAAACTTCTTCATGGGATAGATTATTCCTGTTACCTGAGATGCAAACCTATCAGATCTTTTGGTCCTATCCCTTACTGTTCTACAAGCCTCTCATCTGCCACACTTGAAGGTATCTTTAACATCCAAGAAGGTGGAGGGCCGTTTGGGGGGTTCCACCACATTTTTGGAAATATATCTAAGTCCCATTGCCTTTTTGTAGATGAACCTTGGTTTGTGTGGTAGTATTTGTTTAAGGGATTGGTCTCTTAATAGGATAGGCCAATTTTTCCTAAAGATCTTTTCTGTTTCATTGTACTGAAAGTTATACCACGTGATGAATTCCAATTCCATTCTTGGATCCCTATTGGATCCAGGACATAGTAATTCATCCCGGTCCATATTTCCGACCTGATCTTTGATTTTGTCTAATTCCACTTTCTTGTACCCCTTCTCTAGAAACCTATTTAGCTATTTTTGTGACTGTTCATTGTAATCCTCCCTTTTGTTACAGTTCCTCCTTATCCTCATGAACTGGCCCTTAGGTATTGCTTCATCCATTTTGGATGGTGACAGCTCCTTTTGGAGATGTAACCATCCATGTCCATTTCTTTAAAGTGAGTTCTTGTGTCTAATTTCTCTCCATTCTGAAAGATCTCCAGATTCAGGAATTGTATGACCTCTTATTGGATGTTACTAGTGAATTTAATGCTATAAGCATAAACATTCATAGTTTAAGAAATAGCTCCAGACTAAATAGAGCCCCCTCCCATACTATGAAAATGTCATCAATAAATCTCTTATACATTTTGAGTTGTGGTAGATTTTCCTGAAATATTTACTCCTTTTCCAATTTGTTGAGGAAAATGGTGGCAACACTTGGGGCATACCTATTCCCCATGGCCACTCCCTTAATCTGGTTATAGTACATGCCATTATACCAGAAGTAGTTGTTGGCCATGGCCATGTCCAACCCCTCTAATATAAATTCCTTTTGAGCAGTTTCTAGGTTGGAATACTTATGGAGCGCCCACCTGGTCCCTTCTAAGGCATCCTTTTGTTCGATATTGGTGTAGAGAGATTCTACATCGACCATTACTAACAACGTATGTTCTGTTATGTTGATGACTTTTAATAAATTAATGAGATCCCTACTGTCCTTAGGGAAAGCTCACCTCACTTACATTGCCTGCTGTCTGTTTGCCCCTGATTCTGACTGTGGGCGGGACTTAAGGCACCATAGTGGGGACACTATGGAACTGCCCACGCTAATACCTAAACCTTAGGCAGGAGCTGTGGTCAAGTGGAATCAACATAAAGACAGGACCCCAGACTTAGAAGCAAGTATCGACTTGCAAATATAACTCTTTTGTAACCTGTGGCTAACCTTTTCACACTGTTAACACTATGCACTTTGGACACATATTCGGTTATAGAACACCACTTTCCCAGAGCTGATAGCATGGAGCATGTACTGGTCTTCACCAACTCAGTAATCCCATCACCTCTCTCCTTGTGACTAATATGTATGTTGCTACTGGATACAGGAATCAAATTTTACTCCATGGTTATTCTCTTTCTCGGGGTCACTCTACATTTTTCTCTTTCCCGTCCAGGCTAGGTCCCTAGGTACTGTGTGCTACAAGGTCAGTCCCAGTATGTGGGGAGCGGTTCATGGCACCAGTCTCCTGGCTGGTTGGCTGCTTTAGAAAGTGACACAAATATGGTAGTCCTTAGCAATGGCAATATAGCCTCCTCTGGACAGCATTGTTAGACTTTGTGCTCTATTTCTCTAACCCTTACAGTCCCCTGATGTAACCCCCGTTCTTTGATATGACTTACCCCTTACCCCCATGCACCCCTTTAGGGACTTCAAGCCAGGCAATTTAGAAGAACAAACATATTTTACTGAGGTAATTGCAGGTAACAAACAGTTCTGAAAGACATCTTCCACACACTTTCCTGTACAAAGTTCTCTAGTGCCCCATGTGGTAGACTGCCTTAGACAGATGGTGAAGTCCATAAAAGCAATCCTTTCAAGGCAAGAGTCCATATTTAAGCAGTAAATCCACGAAAGGTAGCAATAATTAAAAGAGGGGTACAGCATGAGGAAGCATAAGTCCTCTAAGTCCAAAGGCTCCAGATCCCACTGGGAACCCTGTCTGGGCTCCCCGCAGGGGTGTTCAGACCAGCAGTAGAATGGTTACATTTTGGCAGTCTTTCACTAACCACCACTCCCTGGGCTAATGAGTCCCTATTTATATGGTGTGACCTGTATGGGGTGGTAACTTTCTGAGAAAGAGTGGGGAAACCTAACCAGCAGCGTTAACCTTTCCGTCTAACATCCACCAGCTCAGCAAGTCAAAAAGGGACACAGGTCGCAACAAGATACATTGTAACATTTAGTCTGTACACAGACACAGTTGTCCTGAATAACACCAAAGCATGCAGCCAGCAAAAGAAAAACTTTAAACTCTTTGTAAGCACCTGCATACATGCCTGCATTCTCTCCATTGAAAATGATGTTTCCGTTTCCTTCTGCTGCCTGCTGAGATACTGATGTCACATATCTCAGGAGGCATTACTTCCCCCAGTCGTAGGATAATATGCTAACAGAGTGCCAAATCTCGCATATGTGCAGACAGAGCTTTGGTGTGTTAACGGTCTACATGTTCTTCTATGAATGGAGAAAAGTAATGCTTCCTGGCATATGCGGGAGGAAGAGTGAAGATCCTCTTTAATACAGTTGTTGACGTAGATCCATACCTAATCATTAAAACTTCATGTAAACGTATTTCACAATAGTATCTGTTAAGGAAACTGGTAATGGCAGCCATATATAAAAATGCAATTTAATCTAGTAACTAAATATATTTTACTCAAATTGAACATATTTGCTTGAATATGTGCCATGATTGCATGCATAGCAGCTATCAATACTCTGAGCCAGTCAGGGCTCTGTGCTGTCAGTGATGATCACATCAATATAGTTGATCTGCTTCTTTATTATCCAATCACAGGTTGGAGAGGATTGGATAATATTACTTTACTGATGTGCAGTCTACATAAAGATCCAGAACCTGTGCTGTCTGGAAAAGCCCCGAGACCTCAAAACTGACAGAACAGAATTACAAATCCTTTGTGAAAACTGTCCGTATTTATAAATTTATGTACTTCAGCTATGTATTTAACTGCTTTTTTGGAGTTCAGACTTAAGGATTTAAATGATCAACATCTTTAGTTGAAGCTGAACACCTCGATTTATAAACAAGCAGTTGATTAATTGTATTTTTTTTTTTAGGATCAAAAAAAGGAGTCTATTACCCTCAGCACTAGGGGATTCAAATGCAAATTTTGCCTGCATCATCCAAATATACTACTTGGAAGTGACATCAGATAATTACAAAACCCAAATAACTTCAACAAAGATGTTTTAGGACTGGCAACAGTTGAGTTTCCATGTCAAATCAGTTATGGCGGATCCTATAGGAACATATGTTGTCACATTTTTTTATAAAGGTCATCTTTTTCCAGGCTTAAATCAACTATAAAGCCTTTTTTTTTTTTTAAATAAGTACTAATGTAAAGTTTTCTCCAGATAAGATGGCAGAGCTGTTTCTTGGCAAAGTCTTGCTTAAAAACAACCGTGATCAGGATGAGCTGGATACGGACAAGGAGTTGTGTGAGAGGCTGGAGAACCGGGTTCTTCTCTTGTACTTTGCGGAGTCAGGTTCTTCCCGTTGTCAGGAGTTTGCTCCACTCTTGAAGGACTTTTTCACCAAACTGACCGATGAGTTCTATGTGAACCGATCCTCGCAGTTAGCCCTAATCTACATAACCCGGGACCGCAATGAGGAAGACCACGACAGCTTCATAAAAAACATGCCAAAACGTTGGCTACTGGTTCCCTTTGAGAATGAAGAGTTCAGGAGGTAATAGGATACCCACCAGGATTTACACTCTTACTAAGAATAAGAATAAACTGCAAAATTTAGTAATGAATAGCATCCAGTCAAATATCGTTCTTCCACTAATTTATGTGAAGGTTCTCATTTACTGAGGTCGCAGTATAGCTAGAAATAGTTAATAATATTCAGCTCAGCTTGTTCTGAAATGTTGAAGAGATTATGCTGCTTAATCAACTTCTTTGCTTCTAGTAAGTGCCAAGAGCACACCCTAGCTCTAAACAGGGGTGACCCATCAGTCACCCACATAATGCTTTTTAAATATCTCTACCCCAGCAACAACACTTTTAGCCATGCTACTCCAATGATTGAAATGTATCTCATACTTAATGACACCATGGGATTGGGTTATGGAGTCAGAGCATGGTGGCTTCCCAAACATCCACATTTTCCATTATGTTCTTGGATAATCAACATCTTGATTGACACAGTCCACAGTGACTAAGTTACCTGTGTGGCTATAAACACTATGGTATGTTCCTTGAAAATAATGCTTGGATAAACAGCAAAACCTCTTCAACATTACAGTCCAGATGAATGTGACCAACTGCTTCTAGCTTTTCATTGATATGGTTGCCATAACCTGAAATCTAATAGGTCGCTGTAGGTTACTACATTTTTCACCCCGTTGAACTTTCTTATAAGGCAAGCTTGCTGGTCTCAGATATGGAATGGTTTCTAAAGGAAAGTAATAGTTTCCACATCATCTAGTCAACCTCCCAATGTGAGTGATTCAGGGCAAACTAAAGAAAGATGGATGGAAACAGTTTTGCTGTATAGCACTCTTACAATGGCCTGTTTGTAGTTACTCTCTTTGGAAAGGATTTTCTATTGAAAACCAAAAATGTTTGTCCAGGAAGGATAAGAAAGCCTTATACTCACCTGATCCTCCCCTCTACCAGCAATTTTCTCTCCCCCACAATCCAGCAGTGGACTGCTCCTGGTGTCCTCACATCCAGAGAAGGCCTATGGAGCCTGCTCTTGGCTTGATGACCTCAGAAACAGTCCACTGCTTAAAACCATTAGAGTGCAGGAACTGCAGGGATTGGTTTTGTGCAGGGAGGATCAGAGGATTAGGCAAGTATATCACCCTGTACCTAGCACCCTCCTGAACTCTGCAACCTCCAGAACTCTCCACCCTGTACGTAGCACATTCCTGAACTGAGCACCCTCCAGAACTCTGCACCCCGTGCCTATCACCCTCCAAATCTCTGCACCCTGTACATAGCACCCTCCAGAACTATGCACCCTGTACATTGTACCCTCCAGAACCCTTCACCCTGCACCTAGCACCATCATGAACCCTGCATCCTGTACCTAGCACCCTCCTGAAACCTGCACCCTGTACCTAGCACCCTCCTTAACTCTGCACCCTGTACCTAGCACCCTCCTTAACTCTGCACCCTGTACCTAGCACCCTCCAAAACCCTGCACTCTGTATGTAGCACCCTGCTGGTATTTAATGTCCCTTTAGGACCTTCCCACGCCTAGATGCTGCAGTGTTATCAACCCCTGGGGTAGAGGGCTGGGGGACGAGGGGCATGGTTGAGTTCCTGCACCTATTCTCTAAGAAAAAAGCCCCGGTAAGGATAATGCTTTTTTACCTAGAGTAAAACATGGAGCCAAGAAACTGAACTTTTGGAGCCCCATAGGACCTCTTTCCTAAAGCAGAACTTCATTTTATGCAAAATTTTTTTCTTTACAACTAGATGATGGTAAGTAATCATTTACAGCCCTTGGAATCTCTAACTCTAGGAATGTCTATCAGACCAAAAAGAGCCCATTTTGGGGATAAAGGCATCTAACTAGATCTAACTAGTGAAGTTGTGTAACGCTTTACTTTAATCCGGAAATGTTTGATCTTTGGGCATGTCCAGAACGCATTATTATAGATAGATCCAAATCTGGATATTCACATTTAAGACAACAGGAGGGAGGGCTTAGGCCCATAGGACATGATCAATATGGAGATATAGAACGCTAACATTGATAGTTAATAAACTTTAGGTGCCCAAGGATTACAACTAAAACAATTTTAAAACAAAATTTCCTTTTATTAACATATTCCAAATAGTATAGGTATGCATCAACCTCCCTAATAATAGACACCCATATTCAATATTTGGCATTAACCTACTTAAACTTGAGATCAAACTACCGCAATTGGTGACACCCTTAAGCTAGTTTTGAAACCGTTATGGGGATTCACAAAGTTCCTCTGCCTGTTTTTTTTTTTACCTGCTTCTTCAGGAGGATCGGAGAATGATAATTGGGGAAGAACTAAAATCCCATAGGCTAGTAAAGTCAACGGCTTTGGACTTCCACTTGGGGGTGAGAGTAAGGGCTTGTCAAGGTAGGAGATTTTTGGTCAACATAAGGTGTTATTATCAAAAGAACCCAATCCATACAGGTCCAGGAATAGACAAAATATTTCTGTTTATTGTCCAGTTCACATGTCCAAATGTGCAGGAAAGGCAGGGTGCCAAAGTGATGTGGGGATATGCAGAGGTGTTGGAAGGATCGGAGTGTCATTTTACGATACATTATGACTTTAATTGTTCCCTAGGATGGTGATAGAGAGTTTAATAGGTCATAGGCCTATAGTTGGGGGAAAGTTTGGGTCCATTTATTGAGTCCAGTTGTAGTAGAGTAACAGTCCAATGTTAAAATTGTTGGGGGTCATAGGGGGTGATCAGGCAGCAGAGCTGAAATAGTTAATTATAGGTACTAAAAATTTCCCCTTGTCATGATAAATGGCTTTACTTCTTTAATAGCAACCGTGAGATATAATATTAGACAGATTGTTCACAATCCTGGTAATTATGCTCTTACTGTATATCATTGCTGTTCCATTTCTGAGTAATCTAGGTTTAGTTATGGATTAGAGCTCTTAGGATGTGATTATTACTGGAGCTTTATGTGATATGGACTGCTTAGTGTCACGGAGTCATTATCTTTTATTTTATTGCGTGTTTAACCAGACGGTATTTTATATGAATGGGGAGGACTGCCCTTCAGCCGCTGCTTCTTCCCAGAGTATCACAGAATATCTCGACCAACAAAGACCTTCAAACAATGGTGGAAAATGAAGCACTTTAACTTAATGTGAACCCTAATTAACTTCTCTCATTTGCTCATTTGGTCTTTTTTAAAGCTGAGCTCCAGGCAAACAGCTAAAAACACAGATAAAATACATACATGACAGCTTTGTTACCTGCCAAGTGATGTGTATTTCTGTCTTTTCAATCCTGAAATGTACACAGCTTTGCCATACAGCATAGCCCTGTCTAACAAGACAGGTGACCTGATGTTTTATCTGCTGCAGGTAAGTAACACTTACAGGTCTTGTCCCTCCCCCATCCTGTGAATGAACAGTGAAAAAGAAGCAGCACACAGATAAGGTCATTTCCCTGTCACTCTGCTCTCTCCTCCTATCAGCATGTATCTTGCACTGCAGCACAATTGATTGGTTCCTTTTGTTGCTTCTATCTTTATCAGTTTGAGCTCTGCTGTGCAATGACTGCAAAAGGTCACATGCAGGTACTTACACAGCTAATATTGACAAAAATACATTTTATGATGCAGTATTAAAAACAAAGCTGCAACAATGTGTGTCTCTATTATCTGCCTGAAGTTCAGCTTTAAATATAACATTGAAAGCATTTTGTTCCTGTGCTGTCTGCCTGTGTTTTATTGAAATCTCAAGCAGTATTCTCAGCCCTTCCCAGTTCTCTGTAAGTACAAAAAAAAAACCCCTCCCCCTCATGTTATGGAGAGGGGGGAGGTGTTTTGTAGTCCTAAGATTCTTCCTGTCTTAGCCCCATTTTACACTGGTGCGACTTGGCATCCGACTTGGGACACAGTCATATGAAAAGTTCTCTTCAATGTGACTTGAAGCGACTTTTAAATGGTTTCCTGCCCTATTTTCTTGCAACTTTAATGTGATATGAGTCCCATTGACTCTAAATCATCAAGTCGCATTAAAGTCACACTGCATAGTCGCACTGGAAACCACCCGATAATTGGGGTTACAGCGGTGTGATCCAAAGCTTAGTGTGACAAGGCTGATCCTCTGAAGATCCAGTACAGTGAGGGAGCCTTGTCATCCTAGGACAAAAAGTGTGTTACTGGGAGGATCACCGGGTGAAAATATAAAGTATTTAAAAAAAAATTATGTATTGACCAGGGGTGGACTGAGCATTTGGAAACTCGGGCACTGCCCGAGGGCCCGGGGTCAGTAGGGGGCCCCATGAGATGCCCCTGGTACCTTTTTCATAGGCTTTTTTGAGTTTGGGCAAGGACACAGGGGCCCCATGGTCCGCTATTGCCAGGGGGCCCCATGAGTTGTCAGTCCACCCCTGGTATTGACCACATCTAAGGACTGGTATCCTGCAACATACTACATTGTTGTTCTTGGGTTTAGATACACTTTAAAGTGTACCAAAGGTGTATCCAAACTCCACATCTTATACGCTACATTTTCAGGCTTTTTTTCTCTTATTTTTCACCAGATGATCCTGCAAATATCATACCTTCTGTACCAGAGGGGCTATGTTTACTCAGCCAATGGTATCTATGGAAGTATCTACTGTATGAAACCATTGTAGGCTCTAGGCTGCTGTCCTGATGTAGGCTCCATGCACACTGGTAAAAAAAAAATGGCAGTATGCTTGGCAGAAAAAAAAATGCAAATTTGAGCATTTTTGTACTCCCTGGACTGACCGGGAGGGGAGAGGGTGTTGGTGGCAGCTGGGGGCGCAGACGCGTTCACACCCCAAAATAGAAAGCGACGCAAGATTACGTCATGTTCCCAAGAGCTGCTGCTCGCCTGGAAAATGCGGGTAAGTGGTTGGCAAGTAGTTAAAAAAACCCCTTAAAAAATGAAAACAAAAATTCTCAATATGGGATTTTTATTTTTTAACATTTAAAATTTTTTTATTAATACTTTTATCAGAATAGTGCAATGTTACC